ACTTTTGACATCGGTCAAACAACCGATGTGAAATTTTTTTCTACATCGGTAGTTTAGTGCCCGATCTAGAAGATAGACCGAAACGGCGTTTTTAATGATATTTCACAAAGGTTATAACTCATGTAAAAAAGAAACAACATCGGTTATTTTATAACTGATGTAGAAAAGCTTTAATTTTTCCCGGAGCATTGGTTTTTCACATCGGTTATAACCCATGTAAAAAAGAAATCACATCGACTATTTCACAACTGATGTGAAAAGCTTCGTTGTTTTTCGGAACATATGTGTTTCACATCGGTTATAACTCATGTAAAAAAGAAATCACATCGGTTATTTCACAACTGATGTGAAAAGCTTCATTTTTTTCGGAACATATGTTTTCACATCGGTTATAACCCATGTAGAAAAGCAATCACATCGGTTATTTCATAACTGAAGTGAAAAACTTCAATTTTTCGGTATTTTTCATGAAAAAAATTTGTAATATCACCTCTGTTTATACTATAATCACATCATTAACAGTATCATCAACTACTATAGCACAATTTTTCACCTGTTCACTTGATCCATCTAAAACAATAACACAAGTTATTTTTTAATTCTTCCACAAATGTTAAACAAGTTCAAGTAACAACTTAGTACATAATAACAAGCTAAAATAAAACAATCCTTGCAAGTCTAGAGTAATAACACATTGTACTTGTTTAACATCATCACTCAAAAACTTAAACAAACACGTTCATCATGTGTCGTTGATGGATTGCGTCATTTCTAAGAAATATGATGCCAAACGAGTCCGTACATCATCAATCTCTTCTGATGAGAATGATTCCGGATTGGCGAATCGCTGCAAATTAAATAAGAACGTTATTAAAAAACATTACATGTGGAGCAAACCTATTGAATGTAAATAAAATAATAACGTACCTCATCCCACATTTCAAGAATTACCGCCGAAACAATATTCAACATATGCAACATTACATAATAACCACATTCATAACTCCCAACTTGCACCCGAGACTACGAATTAGAACAACATACTTACTAATCAGAAATTACGGTATTCGACTTGGTGCTACACAAATGAAAGTAAAAAAAACGTACAAAGTAAAGTAGTAAGTATTTACCATAGGAATAATCCATTTCACTCTTCCCTTTCTTGAGTTGAGCCTACGGCTTGCCTCCATTGCACCATGTAATTTATAATATTAAATATATATATATATATATATAATAATAATAATAAATTATTTATGTAATTAAGATATTAAAACGGAATGTACAAAATACTTACGCATCAATAATATTTTTGAATTGTCTATTTGGCTTATTCCCCAAAGAACACAAGAAGATAATAGTGTTTTGGATAGGAAAGAGAATAAAGAGCTGCCAATGATACTGTATACACAAAAAAAGGATAAAACACAAACAATATTTTTTTAAAAAAAATAATACATAAAAAAATATTTACTATAGTGTACACTTTTTACTCTAACATCTAAAAGAAAATCTTACTCTAACATCTTATCCATCTAAGGGAACACTTGTAGCAAAGAATGCATTACTCGCTAGTTCCTCTTAGCCAAGGAGTTATATCAAGTATCAACTTTGCAATATTTCTCTTGCATCACTAAAGTGACCCTTTTGGAATAACAATCTGAAAAAGTGTATCTCGATACCCACATTCCGGATTAATCAAAGAGAATTGGTGTATACTGTGAACCAAGTGTTTTGAGATGCTGATATGTAGCTATAATCCTATAACTAATAAGCAGAAGAATTAGAATACACGATAAGGGGCAGGCTGGTGCACATAGGCGTCCCCGCAAGACGACGGTCCGGGTAAGGGTCCAACCTCAAGGGTGTATAAGGAGCAAGTCTCTCCAACTCTCACACCAGCCCCCTCCCCATCCCATAAGCCCCTCCCCAGCTCACCGGACCCTCCCAATCCCACCAGCCCCCTCCCCAGCTCCCCAGCCCCCTCCCCATCCCACCAGCCCCCTCCCCAGCTTCCCCTCCCCCTCCCCATCCCACCAGCCCCCTCCCCAGCTCCCCAGCCCCCTCCCCAGCTCCCCATCCACCTCCCTAGCCCCCTCCCCATCTCCCCATCTCCCTAGCCCCTCCCCAACCCCCTCCCCAACCCACCAGTCCCCTCCTCAGCTCCCCATCCCACTTCCCAGCTTCCCAGCCCCCTCCCCAGCTCCCCAGCCACCTCCCTGCCCCCCTCCCCAACTCCCCAGCCCCTCCCCAGCTCCTCCCCATCCCACCTGCCCCCTCCCCATCCCACCAGCCCCCTCCCCAGCTCCCCAGCCCCCTCCCCAGCCCCCTCCCCAACCCACCAGCCCCCTCCTCAGCTCCCCATCCCACTCCCCAGCTCCCCAGCCCCCTCCCCAGCCCCCTCCCCTGCCCCCTCCCCAGCTCCCTAGCCCCCTCCCCAGCCCCCTACCCAGCTCCCCACCCACAATAAACAAATAAATCTTATCTATTCATTCAAGAAACATTAGCTCATAAAGTATCGTATTCAGAATATCACCTATATTATATGATCTCAGAACGATCCTAAAAGACATTAATTCATTAACTAAGGATACAAGAGTGAGAAAAAGCACCAGTTTCATGCTTAAAAATATAAAATAGGGTTTTATGGAGAACCATGAAGTAAATTTGTGATTTATTTATACAACAGATAGTACATACATTATTACATACATTATATTTCATGCACACAGTCATACACATTTGTTTCATGCACAGTCATAGACATTTTTGCAAAGTATTGAGCAAATATACTTTTACAAATGCACACTTCAAAATTTAACAAGAAACATATATGAATATGAAGTTAAACAAAGACACAACAATGTATGAAATCTAAACAAACTGCAGTAAATATAAATATGTATCATACGAGTGGATGGATTTACATACTTAAATCTAGTCATATCCTTTGTGATATGATCAGTTTTTTGCTTAATAGGGATAATGGGCATAACTTACTAACTTACGTAGACATTTGTTGCTAATGTTTTCTATGCAGGAAGTTTTTAAATTTTTAATCACATTTTTTTAATTTCTTGTCAATTGTCTTTCCTTTTTATCATGACCAGAATAATGCACACTTAGCCCGACGTCTCTTAATTGGGGAGCTAGATGCATCACAAGTATCAAGCATGACGCCAAACGAGTTGAAGGCAAGCTTTTGGTTGACATTTATTCTTCATTTGATTGTTCTCCAATTTACTCCGAACACTACTTACTACCTAGATTTTTTTCTTTGTACGAAATTCTTACTCTAGTACATCTTTAATCTTTTTTAGGCAATCCAGAACATCTTTAATACACAATAATTGCAAGTCGGTAATACGGAATATTATAACACATTCACAATTCAATGAAATCACAATCTAACAGCAATTCAATAAAAAAAATCAAAAAACTAAAAGTAAACAGAAATAGAATTTGGATTTTGGAGAATTGGAGTTGGAGGTTACCTGAAGAGTGGGGGATGCTCAAAGCTGCAGAGCAGGGGCAGACCTTGCAGTTCATGTCTTCCTCGCGAGGGCCAGAGTGGAGTTCACGTCTTCCTCGCGACCTTGCATGCTGCAACTCTAATTCGCGTTTGGGGCCGTGGTGTGGGGGGTCTCTAATTCGCGTAAGAAGGGCGAAGGCCAAGAAGCGCAGCCGCAGCCGCAGGCCAAGAAGGGCGAGGGTGAAGGCCGCTCGAAGTACGTCCAACGCCCTAACTCACTTAGGCGCCTGACTTGCCCTTCCGTCTCTCGAAGTCCGGACTGCTCGAAGTTGTCTTCTTTCCTTCACGCCTAGGTCTGAAATCGGCTAAAGTGCAGGGGCGAAAAAAATTAAAATCATCCAGATCGGGTAACAGCATTTAGAATAAGAACGATTCTTTTTTTTTTTTATTTCTTCTGCAGCGGTTTTAACCGATCTAAAATAAAGTTTCATTAATTCTGAAAAAGTACGCCGTTTTTCTTTTCACATCGGTTGCAATTATAACCGATTTAGGTTATTTCTTAAAATTTAAAATAGTACCCCCGTTTTGGTGTTTCACATGGGTTATAATTGCAACCTATGTAAAAACATTTATAAAAATTATAAAAATGACCACATGTTAGTATTCTACATGTGTTTTAAAATAACACATGTAGAAAAGGAGATGTAAAAAGCCTCTTTTGTACTAGTGAAAGCAGAAGCAGAATCAGAATCAGTTTTCAGAAGCTGGTCACCCCCAGCTTCTAAAAAAACTGATTATAGGAGTAAATTAGAGCACCAAAATCACTTTTGCACTTTTAACCAAATACTCCAACTTCTGCTTTTGCTCCTTGAAGGAGCAGAATCAGTTTTAAGAATCAAATCCAAACACCCACTTAGTCAATTTTAGTTTTATAAAAAATTCCTAACATCTAGTATCATCAGATTTTTTTATTTGATTTCATTAATATAATCTCAAGTCTCAACAAGACGGCAAAGTGGTAAAAAACATAAAGGAATTTTATCAATTCGGGACCCGAAAGATAGATGAATTATCAATCCGAGACCTGAAAGATGAAATGCATCAATATAGGACCCGAATGATGAAAAACTATCAAATTAGGACCTGAATGATTGAAAACTATTAATTTAGGACCTAAGTTGTCATAAATTTTATTTTATTTTTTATTTTAAAAAGTTTAAATACTATTTAGTTTTATTAAACTAATAAACTTTTGTGAAGAAAAGTTTATCAAAAATTAGTAATGGAATTAATAAAAAATTAAATAAATCAAAATCTATGGAACATTAGGTCCTAAATTGATAGTTTTCCATCATTCGAGTCCTATACCGATATGTTTCATCTTTCGTGTCCTGAATTGATAATTAATCTATCTTTCGGGTCCTGAATTGATAAAATTCCAAACATAAAATTAAGACAAAGGAGTTGGTATTCATTAGAGAGTATTGTTTCATTTTTTAAATTGAAATTCCCCCCTATTGTTTTCTATGTAAAACCCTAAATCGAACCAATCAATTCAATTGCAGGCTCTCTGAACTTCCATCTCCACGAAATATCCAAGGTCCTCGGTTGTTTCATTCGACCCCTTCCCCTGCTTCATAAAGCTAAACTGCGAATCTTTTCTCAGAAAGTTTCATTTTTCTATTACTTTAAGTTGTGGGAGAACTGCTTTCTCCAAAACATTTAAAAAGAACTTTTTTGGAAGATATTACGGTTTAGAACTGCAACAGAGAGAGGGGTTAGAGAGGCGGCCAGGCTGGCTAATAAGCTGAGGTCGGGAGATGGCGGATCCGCCACATGTCCGCCGCCAATTGATTGCTAGCCCGTGTTCGGAGTTTGAAGAATTCAGTTTTCTAGTAGCTATAGATGAAGAAGTAGATAGTAGAGAGTGGGCCGCTCCTCATCTCGCATAATGCTGACTATTCTGCGAGTACATCTCCCTTCTGACATTCCGATCGTAGGCTGCGAGCTCACGCCTTACGTTCTCTTGCGACGGCCAGATAATTCTGTTACTACGGACGATGTTCTAGATAATGCAACTTTAGACGGACACCAATTGAGATACAAATGGTGAGTAAGCTTTAATTTATTTATGTTATTCGAAAAATATTCCTGCCTTGCAATCCTGTAAATGTCAGAACTCAGAATTCTGATTTTTAGCTGCGGTGAGTTTGTTGTTGCTGGATTTTGTAATCAATTTTTTTTTAATCTTTTTTTGTAAGTTTGTAAAAAAATAGGTAAATTCCCTGAGTAGTTGTGTGGGTGCTGTAGAAGTTTGTAGAATTGTTCACTTTTTTGTGTGGCTAACTAGTGCATAGAGTAAAGGTTACTGAAAGGTTATTAGGTAGGAAATGCATTAGTTCTAGGGACTTTAATGGTCTTGTTTCATGGCTTGACGAAGCATAGTACTCCGTATGATTGTATCTACTATCTATACTTGAAAGCCCGCTTTGTATTCACCTTTAATACTCCCTCCGTCCCGTAATTAAGTTCAAAGTTTGACTTCACACATATTAAGAAAATAAATTTGACTTTACTGTGGAGTGCACTGTTTTGCACTGTTTAAACACTGTTTGACACTGTTTGGACACTGTTTGGACACTGTTTGGCACTGTTTTGACGTATATTATTTGCCTAATAAGGAAAGTTTTGAAGTGTGAAGTTAATTTCGGGACTGCCCGAAATGGAAAGTGGGAAGTTAATTTTGGTACGGAGGGAGTATAAATTATTGAATATTTAGAATAAGTGGATAACATAAACTACACCGGCTGTAATGGTAAATTACTTTTCTTCTTCTGGTTTATTTCTGGGAGTATACTTTGGAACCACAAGAACAGTATATGTCCTTCAATTAGAATCTCATGTCCAACCAGTGGCATAGCCAGGGGAGGGAATCAGGGTGAGCCGGATAAAAAAATTCATCCATATATTTTTCATAAATTTCCATATAAATTTTGTTACATCACTTACATGTAAACTGTAAAGTTAAAGATGTTACCAAAATGGGGTGGGCCAGTGCATGGGTTGGCTACGCCCACGTATCCAACAATGTTGTAAACTACAAGAGTAGAATATCTTTGTCAAAACCCCTTTATTTTCTTAGTTGAGGGTATTGTGTTGCTTTTATGGGATTTAGAAAATCGTGAGTTTTCATTTATTGCAGGTCCTAGAATATGCTATAGATCGCTTATACTTGAAATAATGAAGTGTACTCTCTATTTCCCTTTCTTATCTTCCTATGTTCCCTAAATAGTCTTCCTATTACTTTTTTTGTAAAAAATATGTGATTCAAATTTTTCCATTCCTGTCTGTCTACATAAATCTCAACCATAACAATTTCAGTTGCATAAACTCTATGCCAAGTGAATATGTTTTTAGTGTTTTAAATTTGCTTGTGTGCACACTTTTTAGATCCAAATTATAATTTTAGAAACATTTTTGCTTACTTTTGGGCTCTGGTTAGAAAGGCATCAAAGTCATGATCATATGACGAGGATGCCAAAAGAAGGGGTAGCATTGGTCAGGAGATGTTACTAAGGGTAGTCTGCTATTTGTACCAAAGTCATATGATGGGGATGCCAAAGTCTTATAATATTTTACCATCGGCAGGTATCGCATACAAAGTGATAAGAAAGTTGCTATTTGTAGTGTCCACCCATCCGAGCAAGCTACTCTGCAATGCCTTGGATGTGTTAAGGCCAAAATCACCATTGCTAAGAGTTACCACTGCTCTCCCAAATGCTTCTCCGATGCATGGCAACATCACCGCCTTCTACATGAGCGTGCTGCTAGTGCTGTCAATGAAAACGGGAATGAGGATGAAGAAATTTTTGGACGCAGCAATCCACCTGGCGGTGCGATGGTTAGTAGCACGAGCTTGCCTCATTCACAATCAGCCGGGAATTTGGCAAATGGAGCAATATCTTTATATCCTGCACCAGTCATACAAAGAAATGGAAGTGAAACATGGTTTGAAGTTGGACGGTCCAAAACATACACACCAACTGCAGATGACATTGGTCATGTCCTTAAATTTGAATGTGTGTCTGTAGATGCAGAAACAAATATTCCAGTGGGACATACAAGTACCATATTGACATCTCGTGTGATTCCAGCACCCTCTCCTACACCACGCCGTCAAATTTCCCTTGGTGGAGTTGATTTGGATTGCCGTATTTCATCTGCTGATTCGTTTAGTGTGCTATCATACAATATCTTATCCGATGCATACACTTCTGGTGAAATGTACAGTTATTGTCCCTCTTGGGCTCTTTCATGGATGTATCGGAGACAGAATCTGCTGCGAGAAATTGTTGGGTATCGTGCGGACATTATTTGTCTTCAGGAGGTACATGTTAAAAACATTTATTCATTTAAGTTTTTGTATAACTCATGAGCTATGAGATTTAGAGCCCGTTTGGTAAGACTAAAATTGGTTGAGTTTGCTAAAAATGCTAAACTAAGGTTAAATTGTTTGCATTGACCGCACGTGCTGAATTAAGAAAAACATTCAAAATATATTTTATTAATAAAGTGGAGAAAAGTTATACTGGAGAAAAGCTAAAATGGTCCTCTTTAACAAAGATTTTGGTTCAAATAAAAAACTTCTGAATGTGTAAAATGAGAAATGATCACACTCGTCCATTTTAACAATCTCATGTATCCAATTAAAAGAATCTGTACGATTATATCTTGTTGGTTTGGGCAATTATGTAATCTTTGTATCACAGTTAATTTTGGTAACTGAATGTCATTAATTGACCGACCATATTTCTAATCTGTTGGAAAATTGTCTCCCATTATTCAAACATAACTGCCCATTCCCATATTTTCGTTGTTATCATTTGCATTACAAGAAGAATTCTTTATCCACGTATTCTTCCTCATCCCTGTCTCAAAAAATGCAATAATTTAAGCGGTACACTTTTATTCATCATAAAAACGTGCTTTGTTATTTTCATATTATGATGGCCGGTTTATGCTTTTTACATGCACTCATTAAATTTCAAATTGCACTAAATGTACCAAATTATGCATTATATGTATATTGTGTGTGCACATATATAAATGTTAGCAATTGTTTTTGTATATGTGCATATGTACTACAATAATAGTGCAAAACCATGTATAAGTACATGTATTGGTTAAAAATTAATTAATATACAATTAATAAATTTTATTAAAATAATTAAAGCCTTACGGTTGCATATGTGTCTCGCTCCTTTTAAAATTATTTACACTACTTTGCAATGCCATAAAATATGATAATAGTGCATGCACTTCTATGTTTGTGCATCAATTATAACTATGATATACTTTACTAAGACTACTGCTACATGTACGTAATATCTTTCTTAACACTTTTTATTGCACTAAATTCATCTCCAATTGCACTTTGCCTAAGTGAATTCTGTGAGCATGCCATTTCTATGCCATAAAATATGATAATAGTGCATGCACTTCTATGTTTGTGCATCAATTATAACTATGATATACTTTACTAAGACTACTGCTACATGTACGTAATATTTTTCTTAACACTTTTATTGCACTAAATTCATCTCCAATTGCACTTTGCCTAAGTGAATTCTGTGAGCATGCCATTTCTCTTCAATTATCCAAAAATAGATTTTAGATCTTACCACAAATGATCTACACATTTTTAAATATAAAAATGGTAAGTTTTTAATGAAAGAGTTAGTGGCGTGGTGATAGGGATATGTTAATACATTTGACTTATCGAATTACAAACATGCCTTCAACCTCCTTGTATTAGTGGGGCACGTGTATATATTAGAACTAATAGTATACTACGCATTACATAATTTACGGTGCACTTCATATGCTATTTCTGTTCATTTTGTTAGATTAAGGAACCTGATTTATTCTTATTTTACACGATAAGATGTCTTCTCATATGAACTCAACCCCTTCAACAAATTCAATCAAAAGTACTCCATCATTACTTTTTTCGTTATCTTCCAATTCAGCACATTAGTTCAAAATATTAGTGTTTGGTAAAGTATCTGGCTGATAATGCTCATATGCAAAGAAACAAGGTTACCAAGTACACACAACTTCAAGGACATGGGAGTATGAAATAAATAATAATAATAAGATTATCTAAATATCATAGTCCAAATCCAACAGTAGCCATTGTATCACTATAGCTTATTCTCCAGTCATCCCTCCACAAGTATTTTCCACTAGAGGATATATTAAACTTGTTTAATGTGTGCTGATATCCATAGTTGTCATGGCACATGGCAATCGCCATGGCTCAAAGGCATTTTTCATGGTGCATGGCAATGGCACATATGGCGTTATGGCGACGACCACTTTTTCATGGCGATGGGCCGATGGCGCATATGGCAACGACCACTTTTTCATGGCGATGGACCGGATGGCGCATATGGCTACTATGCTGATATCTAATGTTTAGCTCCATTTGGTAAATGAGCTTACACACCCTTTTACTTATTGCCTGAATATTTCCATTTCAGGTTCAGAGTGACCATTTTGTGGATTTTTTTGCTCCTGAGTTAGACAAGCATGGTTATGAAGCAATTTTTAAAGGCAAAACTGCTGAGGTTTGTTAGGAGTCATTTGCTCTTGAAAAAATGTTGGGCATTGGAGATTGTTGCTTCTATAAACTGTACAATTGCTGCTGCTGCAGGCATTTAATGGAAATGTTAATACAATTGATGGATGTGCTACACTTTTCCGACGAGATAGATTTTCTCATGTTAAGCAATATGAGGTAAGACGGAGCTAGTCTTCTGCTGAAGTCTATCTAAATCATGTAATCATCATCATCATCATCGCCATCTGTGGTGTAGGTTGAGTTTAATAAAGCTGCACAATCATTGGCTGATGCATTAGCTCCCAGTGCTCAAAAGAAAGCCGCACTGAATCGCTTGGTGAAGGTACATGTTTAATATGTTTTGATGTTAATTTGGTTATTTATTAATCAAAAAATTCCTTTAGTATTACCAAGTACCCATAGTACAAAAATGTTAATTTGTAACTTTAGGAAAAAAATGTTACCGAATGGCAATGACTGATTATCAAAGCAATTATGGCTGTATCGGCAACAGTTCAAGTGAAATATACGTCAAAAATAACAAATTAACATTCTTCTTAAATGGGTATTTAATTAGTAAAATTAAAGGAAATGTCCATTTTTTAATTAGTCAAGCCGTATTTATTGGGTATTTTATTCTGAACTGTTTATTGAAAAAGTGTTTTCATCATGCAGGACAATGTTGCACTTATCGTGGTCATGGAAGCAAAGTTCAGTAACCAGGGATCTGATAACCCTGGAAAGAGACAGCTTGTTTGCGTGGTATAGATCCTTCCGATGCTTCTTTGATGTTTAGTTTGTGTAGGGAATGGGAACCTTGGCATTGTTGTCTTGTGAATTTGTGCATAGTTGTGTAAGGGAAAAAGTGCATTGGCGTGCAACTATGACCACCCTGGGCGGGGACTATTAAAATATGTAGAAAAGACTATGATTTAATTGTTTATTAATGTTTTTAATTAGAGAATGCTGACATCTAGATTCATGGAAAAACACATTTACACATTATTTGATCCAGAAAAATTTTCGAAGTTTTCTATTGAGCCACAACCTCAAATTTTTTATTCAGCCCTTGTACTTTTGAATTAATTACATGCCCCACTAAAATCCCTTATGGGCATTTGGTTTTAATCAGTTGAGTCATGCGTCTATATTACTCTATATCTATCAACTACTTTGGTTTAATGTTGTGCTTATTTTCAAGTTCAAAATTTCAGTAATCATTTTGTCATGAACATGTCATTTAATGATTGTTTGTGTTAGAAAGAAGAGATATTACCCGAAATAGGACTAAAAAGGTTTGAAAATTCCAAAATAGGACTGCCATGTTTTTATTCCCAAAATAGGACTAATTACTGTCATGTTTTGGTAGTACCAGACTTCAAACATGGCAGTATTTTCCAAACTTGACAGTAATTACTCCTATTTTGGGAATAAAAAACATGACAGTCCTATTTTGGAATTTTCAAACTGTTTTAGTCCTATTTCGGGAACTTTCCCTAGAAAGAATAGTTCACTGCTTTTGACAAGATCTTTTTGTGCTTTAGGTTTTATTGCCAGAAATATGTTTAAAGAAGGTATACCAAGGGCTTATCATGATAAGTTCAGAAATTAAAAAGGCTTTTCACAGTGATATATCTGAATTTTACAAGGGCTAAACTAAACAAAGTTGGATAAAGTTTGTGTGGTTTTAAATCATTCTTACTTTATTCTTACTTTATCAATTCAATATTAGTGGGATGGAGGTAGTAGTTTAGAGAAGTATAGGGGCCAAATAATGTGTTTTCTGTAGTTTTATCAATTTTCTATACAAAAGTCATGATTGAAAATATTTGTTCTGGGAGAATTTTCTCCCCCTCATCTGATTCACAGTGTTCTTCCCGTTATAAATCAGGCAAACACTCATGTGCATGTTCAGCAAGAGTTGAAAGATGTCAAGCTTTGGCAGGTCATATATATCTATCCCGTTCTATCCCTCCCATCTTTTCATGACACTTTTCGTTGAAAACTGATCATGTTTGGTCTTTATGCATCAGGTTCATACACTTATTAAAGGTCTGGAAAAGATTGCGGCCAGTGCAGATATTCCAATGTTGGTGTGTGGTGATTTTAATTCAGTGCCTGGAAGGTCTGTGTTGTCTTCGATTCATAATAAAAATTATTTAACTTCTAAAAGCTTAAAGCTCAGTGTAATTGGCTGTGATAATAAGCTACTGTAATAATTATGGTAATAATGAAGAAATGTTATGTGGGTCCAATGCAGTGCCACTCACTCCCTCCTTGCAGCTGGGAAAGTTGATCCAATGCATCCAGATCTACACATTGACCCTCTTGGTATTCTGCGCCCAATTACCAAGTTAACACATCACCTGCCATTGGTATAATTTTATTTAATATGTTTATAAATTTCCAACTAGAAGGGGAGCCTTGGCGCACCGGTTACTGTGTTTCTGTGGGACTGAGAGGGCACGGGTTCAAGTGTTTGGAGCGACCTCTTGTCAAAACAAAATGGGAAGGCCTGCTCTTTGTACACACTTGTGCTGGTACCCTTCCCCGAACCCTCACCTTGCGGGGACGCCAATGTGCATTGGGCTTCCCTTTTATAAATTTCCAACTAGTTCTGCCCTTTTGCCCTTTATAAAATCAAGTCAAGAGGAAATAAGTTTGATATTGGCTTATTTGGAATTTAGTTAATTTGTTATGGCATGCTTCAATGCAGGTAAGTGCTTATTCTGCCATTGGTAGGCTAGGGGTAGGCCTTGGGTTTGAGCAACAGAAAAGACGAATTGACCCTACTACGAATGAACCCTTATTTACAAATTGCACTAGGGACTTCATTGGTACCCATGATTACATTTTCTACTCTGGTAATTTTTTTGGAGCAATACTCAACTGTCATTTTTTCTCATTTAGCTTTTCAGACAATTAATGTCAAATGTAGTACGCATTTCTTTTCTTTATTTTGCACTGCTTATCTATGTCATAGTGCTGACTTTGCTTTGTTAATAATTGTTTTTTTTTTTTAAATTAGCGGACTCTTTAACAATTGAATCGTTATTGGAGCTTTTGGACGAGGAGAGCTTGAGAAAAGACACAGGGCTTCCTTCTCCGGAGTGGTCTTCGGATCATATAGCACTCTTAGCTGAGTTTCGGTGCAAGCCTAGAACTAAACACTGACTAGGTAGCTAACCCTCCTTATTAAGATAATAAATATTTATTTGTGCTGATTCTTCTTGTATTATAGACTCAGGTATATATGGTAATGGTGTGTATTTGCTTTGTAGGCATTGCATGAAGGGGAAATTAAGAAGCAGAAACGCGTCAAAAAGGATTAAAGGTGATATTATTTGTAAGAATAGTAGATGGTGCCTCTTTTGTTTCTTCTTGGTGTAGCCTTCTTCAGTGGGCCCTAGCGGCTGTTGATATATATTTTTTGTATTATTGTGCCGCTCTGCCTTATCTCATAGAAGAAAAATAAACTGGTTTGATGTATTTTTCATATGGTCTAGAATACAAATATATAGCGGAGAAATCTCTGTTCATTATCTTCTGTGTAATCGTGTTTTTCTTTATACATTCGCTAATTAAAGTATTCAACACAAGATTTCTGATATAAAATTACAGATATTCATTAATTCAACAATAAATAAATATGAAATAATAAAAAAGCACATGATTTTACATGAAAATCCAAACGAGAGAAAACTATTGGGCTTTTAGAGCTTTCAAGCCAAATGATCCGTTGTAAATTGAACTTGAAGTCTTGAACTCTATTCACTTTTTGAGTTGTCAAGAATTCAAGCCCAACCTCCTGACCTGTCTACGGTAGGGATAGATTGGGACCGCTCGGACCGGCTTGGTGCCCGATGCCTGGCCCGGACCGTCATTGTGTGGTACCGGACCAGCGGCTAGACCGCGAGGGTTTGGGGGCGGGTCACGGGCTTAAGGCTTCTTGGAAGTTAGAACTAGCTCGCCTGATACGGTCCCAAAAAGTTTTTTTTTTCAAATGGAATGAGGGTAGGTGGGTTGGGTTGAGTGGTTTTGGGGGGGGGGGGGGGGGGGGGGGGGGGGTAGGAACAAACAAGGGAAAAAACACATGACCTGACCCGTACCAGTAACGGGCCAAATGCCCAAAAAAATCTGAATCATGTGTGTCTGGGTTAAGTGACACTGAGATAACAAACTGTTTACTAAATGTGTTAAATGAGAAGTCTGAATCATGTCAAATGACCAAATTACCATTTTGTCTGGAATAAGTGCTGAATGTACATTGTATGTTTACTTTCTTTGTTCTGAAAGATAATTTCACATATCTAAAAGTAATAATAGTATGAATTACTTATTTTTATCATAATAGTATGAATTACTTAAATAAAAGATTCACATTACATGATAAGAAAAACATTTTCTACCAGTCTATTAGCGAGGCCTCCTTCAAATTCTTCATGTATTGTAGACTTTGCATACCCCATTGTGTTCATGCACTTCTTCTCCAATATCTTCACCTTGCTCTTGTGCTTCATTGTTGATTATAGTGTTATTATCCCATTCACTTCTTCTCCAAAATCATCGTTGATGTCGTGTATGAAAATCCAATATGATTACACATATTAAAATTCAAATTAAATTTAACTTTAAATTTATGAAATTTAGAAAAGAGTTCAACTTTATATGTGCTCAAATATCTATAGAAATTAGAAAACACCTACTAGGTACAGAGGCAAAGTGACGTGCGAGAAATGCTGAAAAAATGCATATATATTATCTCCATAGGACACAGATATAACATGCCAAGAAAATGGACAAAAAACTATTAAACTTTGTAGGAAAAAGATGCTATGAAACTAGGGAAAAACTCAGAACATATGGGTTTACACAGCCAAAACATGTTTATATATTCTTACATCAATTTTGGTAGGCAGCACATTAGTTGTGGATGAAAAATTCCAAACTTCTAAATAGCATTGGTGATTTCTATGCTTACATCACAGATCAAACAAAGAAAAAACCACAAAATCAATTTCAAATGAACACTTTTAGTTACCAATTTAGCACAATAAAATTATCAACATCCGAAGTCCTTTAATTTACCATACTAGCTAACAAATTCATTAACATATTATCTCTCAGAATACGGGCAATCAGATAACAATACATTAGTTTCAAACTTCCGGTAAATGAAGAATGAAATAAGGTGAGCATATATAGATGAGTTTGCTATTTTCAGTTACTAGAGCTCCACCGGCCCTGGCCATTGGGCAAGTTTATGGCCGAATGTACCCTAGTTTGGAGCTAGCTAGGGTCATGCTTAAGAGTGAAATTAAATATATCAATCAAGAAACAATTAATCAGATAATCGATAAAGCATCGATCATAAAGTATTGAACATACTAGATTCTCACCTGTGCGATGCACGGATCGCAATTCAGCATCAATTATATTGTAATCTTAGATAACGTTATCAGCTGAAAACATTTAAAAAAAATCATATGTGTAGATATATTAAAGAATTATTATTTTTGAATGTGTATTAAAGAATAATAGTAAATGTAATATTAATGAAAATTCATATAAGAAGTTATAATTAGGAATGGTCTCATGAAAACCGGTGGAAACAATATTTAAAAAAAAGAATAAATATTTACCCCTATGTCCCACTAAATTTTGGCACTATTAAATTTTCTTAGTCAATGTACTGTTTTTAATACGAAATTAATTCAAAAATGAAAAGTAATCAAAAACATTCTTTGTTAAGTGTACTTTTACAAAAGTATAAAATTTATGAGCCCATTTGGTGACCCTATTTAATTAACAACCTTATTAGTCAACTTTTTCACCAAATCACGTAGAGCCCGTTTGGTAACCTCATTTTTCGATTTATCAAGCTTTTCATACAATTTTTTCATCAAACAAACTTTTGATTTCACGCGCTGAATTGTGTAATAGTAAGAAAAAGTAAGGTTGGAGCTATTTTTCTGGCTGTATAGGCTGAAGTTAATGTAGACAACAATTTTAGCTATTTTTTCATATATTTTTTATTTTATTAATAAAATATATTTAAATCAATAGAATCAACCAATCCAGCCACTTTGGCTAGAACTTCATAAATTTTAGCAAAATCAGCTGATTCACTCGATTTTGGTATTACCAAACGGACTCATAACTTTTCATTTCGCGCTCTCAGATGTGTTACAATCAAAATAAATAGGCTTGTAGTTTATTTTGGCGAGATTGACTGAAGTTAATGTGGAAGATCATTTTAACTATTTTTCGTATAATTTTATATGTAACTTATTAATAAATATATTTCAAATATAATTTTTCATAATTTTATCAAAATCCGTCAATCCAGCTACTTAAGCTAGAATTTGATAAAATTTTATGTAATCAATTGAATCATCTAATTTCATTTTTTCCAAACGGGCTCTATAAGTTTCATACAAATATTATACTCCTTTCGTCCCATTTTGGTTGCCTTTACTTTCCTTTTTGAATTGTTTCAAAATGAATGTCATGTTACCTTTTTTGGCAATAAATATGCGATTCTTATCATTTTATTTTATTCTACTCAAATCTCAACCACAAATCCACAATTTACTTTTCAACCACTTTATTAATAATTATGTCAAATTAAAACGTGACAACCATTATGGGATGAAGATAGTTTTACTTTTATACCACTTAGACAATCATGCCAATGTACTATTTTTCGGTCAACACAAAATATTCTTAATCTTTTACTTTATATATACTTCATCCGTCCCATAATGAACTTCACAGTTTGACCTACACACATAATAAGGAAATAAACTTATCATGGGGTAAATTTGACTGTTTTGACACTGTCTCAACACTGTTTGGCACTATTTTGCACTGTTTCGACACTGTTTTGATGTAGATTAACTTGCCATTTAAGGAAATGAGAACTTGTTTCTGGGACATCCAAAAAAGGAAAGTGGGAAGTTCATTGCGGGACGGAAGGAGTATTAATTTATGTGTGTGTGTGTGTATGTATATATATATATATATATATATATATATATATATATATATATATATATATATATATATATAATCGAACTTTATCAAATTTTATTTTTCTGTTTGCAAATCTATAAAACATTTATTGGAGTTTCTGATTATGTAAATTTTATTTACTACTACGTAAAAAGAATCTTATTATTGAAAAAGATCAGTTAACTTTATGATTAATCAAACATCATAAACCACGTGAAAACCTTTAGATAAAACGGAGGGAGTAACTAAATTCATTGTCCAAATTTTATTACCATTCACTAAACTTGGTGAGAGGGAGGAGTATTAAAATGTGCTTTCATCAATCTAGACATTTTGTATATTAGTTTATTACCTATATTATTATACATTTATTTATACGTAATAAACTACTCCGTAATAATCAATACTCCATATAATTGTTTTGTCAAATTAAAAGCATGCAGTTTTACCCAAAAAAAATTAAAAGCATGAGGAAGACTAATTTAACTCCAAATGTCCAACCAATGGCAATAAATGTACCTTTGAAAGGCCGTTGAATTGGAGCAAATGTCAAATGATGGCTATTACTCAGCGGCCCACGTACATGTACCGACCCAACCCAAATTGCACATTTTGGCCCATATTTTTAGTCGGGAATATTGTACACTTTTTCCACTTCCTTTTGTATATAGTAAGATTAGAGAGACTCTACAAAATAAATAAAAAAAGTATAAAATAAAAAATAAAAACCGTATAGAATGAGAAGAGATACCTAGATGAAGGAGATGATAGATTTCTCCGGCCGGCGAAGGTCGGCGTTATCTGTGAAGGTCGCCTACTCTCCTATTCCCCTAAAGCTTTGGCGGCTAATGATGTGCGGAGTATTTGCCAGAGGAAGCGATGAAATGTAGAAGAAGAAAAGCGGGGTTAAAAAAGATAGTATTGTGTCGCTGATATGTCTGAATCGTAAGGAGCATCAAATCAGCACTGAGCGATTAAGTCACGAATTGTCTGAGCGAATAAGTCTCGTTTTTTCTAAGTCATAGGTAAACATGAATATATAGCTTACCAATTAAGTCATACTTTTCATTAAGTCCAATAAGTCCCAAGTAAACGGGGCCTAAGGTTGCGAAGGAAACGAGCTTGAGATTATTATTCACATTCATATTGATTATAGTGAATGAATATATGCATTTGTTTAATAGTCAAATTTTATTTTCCATTTGTATTTGATTGTTACGTTTTAGTTATTCGACTTTGATTTGAATATTTGACATAAAAAGATTTCGAGTCAAATTTGTTTAAGTAATTGAAATCATAATGCATGATAATATCATTAATATGATATGTACTTTCCATCCATTTTGAAACAAATATTTTAAAATTCAAACATGATATTGAAATATAATTTATGAACGACGATGTAACTAAAGAATTGCAAGTATATCATCTGCGTAAAATTTAACACAATCATGTCTACTATAGTCAATTTTTACTAGTTCAATCTAATATGGTAAGTAGGTCGCCATTACTCATTTTAATTATCGAATGCATGTTTAGTAATGGGATTAGGGAACTCATGCTTCATCAATGATGTGAAATTATGAATGAATGTAGTGGTGGAGATAGGGAGAGATGTGAATCCATCCCGTCTTGCTAACACTGTCTTTATCTTTACTTCTCGATTCGTTCCAGTAAAGTTGTCTCATATTGAATTTAGTAAAGCTCGATTTGTTCCGGTAGGATTGTCTCATATCAAATTTGGTAAAGCTCGATTCGTTTCGGTGGGATTGCATGCATGTCTCATATCAAATTTGTTAAAGTTTGAGTGATTTTAGATTATTGTTACTTCATCAATTCAATATTATCTACATAAACTCATTTTTCTTTATAACCGCACTACTCGCTTATGTCTCGATGTTAATGGGACGAAGATGGTACTAATATATATAGTAAGCATGTAGAAATATTTATAACTAGTTTTCAAGCCCGTGCGATGCACGGGCAGTACATAATTTAGCTAATTGTAAATTTGATATTTTCAAAATCATATACTCCCTCCGTCCCTAAATAAAAGCATCTGTTTCCTTTTCGAGCCGTCCCTAAATAAAAGTTCCCTTTCCTTTTTTGGCAAACAAAACAGTGCAAAACAGTGCCAAACAGTGTCCAAACAGTACCAACCAAACCCACTTTCTTAAGATGTGTGTTAAATGAATGGATACTTTTATATAGGGACGGAGGGAGTATAATTAATAAAATAAATTCAAATTTATATGAAAAATATTTAAATTGCTTCTACATAAGCATCTCAACTAAACATAATTGTTATGAACCCAATTAAAGAATTCATACAAAAGTTTCTTAATTAATTTCACATCCTTTATATTACTTCATTAAGCATCTAAAAAACTATTTTTAAATATTTCTCAATCAACATGTGGTACGAAACAAGTATATAATTTGTAAATTTATTAGTGAGATCTTACACTGTACTCATTATTTTGTCACATTGAAAATGTAAACAAAAAAGGATCATTTTTACAATTTACTCATTTATTTCGTCATATTGAAAATGTCATTAATAAGTGATGGGGTTATGAGACTAGGCCCAGAGCCTAATCGGCCCAGGCCCCGAACTTGGACCAGCGGGCCCAAGCCCAGCAACCCAGAGCTCGAGTCAGCCCAACCAACCAGGGAAATCAAGGAACGGAAGCCCAAGAGAGCCTGTCGACCAGCCCAGTGGGGAGCCTGCCTTCCAGCCCAGTGGGGAGCCCGCCTTCCAGCCTAGCCAGGAGCCTGCCGACCACCAGCCCAGCTGGGAGCCTGCGGTCCAGCCCAACTGGGAGCCTGCGGTCCAGCCTACCCGGGAGCCTGCCTTCCAGCCCAGTGGGGAGCCTACCTTCCAGCCTAGCCAGGAGCCTGCCGACCACCAGCCCAGCTGGGAGCCTGCGGTCCAGCCCAACTGGAAGCCTGCGGTCCAGCCTACCCGGGAGCCTGCCTTCCAGCCTACCCGGGAGCCTGCCTCCAGCCCGGTCAGAAGCCTTCCTCCAGCCTAGCGGGAAGCCCACCATCCAGTCCAGCAGGAGGGAGCTCAAGCGTCCAGCCTGCCAGCCAAGAAGAGTAACGGCCAACAATTAATGCGCGACTTAATTATGTGTTTAATTCTGTATTAATGTTGTAATTAATTTAGTCATTATTATGTTCGGCAGTTACCATTTGTAATCGCCTATAAAAGGCAATTCGAATTTCAAATACAGATAGGCTATTGCTGGCTGACTTTCCATATTCGTACTTTCCTAATTCTTGCTTGAATGTCGTACGTAGCTTTCCTAAAAGCCTACGAGCGTCCTATTTTGGACCAACATTGGTGCTTTCATTGAGAGCCTCTATTGTCTCTCACATAACTTGAGTAGGAATCACACAGGAAGATGGCTGGAATCTCGTCTCGACGTGACCATGTCTCAGTCCACACCGAGGAGTCCGCCCGGTCTGGCCGCCAGCGTGCCCTCGACAACCATGCACAGGGCAGGAGGGCGGCGCGCCAAGGCGACCTTCGGAACCAATTATCAGGCCACGGCGACCTAAGGGCGACGCTCAACCACACTCAAGGTGAGCGCTCGGTCCGCAGCCGGCGGGGGGGAGGCCGACGTCATGCTCCGCGCATGGACCCGGCTCAACTCAATGCCGGGGTGGAAGCCCTGCAGGAGGCAACTCGGGTTCTGGGGACCTTGGCTCAAAATTTCCAACAGATGGTGTCTGGCGGAAATGTGGATGAGCCTGCCCGTCAACAGACGCCAGTGGATGTGGAGGTGTCCTCCAGGCGGCGTGATGAGCGACGCTCTGGATCCAACCAAAACAGGGGGGAAGAAGTCTCCCATCGGCGGGGGGAAGAAGTCTCTCAGCAGCCTAGCCGACCCCATCGACAGACGAGGAGGGGCGCCCAGCAGGGGCGCCCAACGCAGATGGAAGGAGGCGAGCCCTCTCGCCACTCTCACCGGGCGAGCAGTCGGACTGGCTCCACGGAGAGGCAGAACGTGGGGCCCCGACCTCACGTGCACGGACGACTTGGAGGTGCCGCCGGACATGCCCAGCCCCGCGCTGGAGCTGTCCGGGGGAACCCACCGCCGACCGAGGTGGAAGATCTACGACAGCGCCTTGACGAGTTGAGAAGGAGGGTTGTCGGGGGGGAGCCTTACACGGCCGACCTCCGGATACCCGAACCCTTCACCCGGGCGGTCATGGATGCGCCGGTGCCGAGGGGCTACAAGCCTTGCGCCATTGAAGCATACAAGGGCGCTTCGGACCCCCAACATCATGTATCTCGGTACCTTTCCTACATGGTCATGATGGGGTACGAGGACGCAATCCGATGCCGCGGTTTCTCCGCCACTTTGGATGGCCCGGCTCGTGAATGGTATGACTCTCTACCCGACGGGAGTATCACGAATTTCCGTGAGTTGGCTCAGCGCTTTCTCTTGAGGTTCGCGAGCTCCCGAGACGTCAAGAAAAACTTCAGCCACCTGTTCGGCCTAAAACAAGGGAAGAAGGAATCATTGTCGACCTTCCTAGCGAGGTGGAGGGCCGAGTCAGTCAAGGTTCAGGGCCTTGATGACAGGACCGGGGTGGCCATGCTCACAAACTCTATCCGATCGGGTGAGCTTTACAAAGATTTCGTCAGAAGTCCCCCTACCTCGTACGAGGAGGCGCTCGGCCGTGCCGACCGGCAAGCCGAGGCGGAGGACGCCTTGCAGAGGAAAAGAGATGAGGAAGAAGGTGCAAAAGAAGAAAAGAAGAAGGAAGCCGGTTCGAGTGCTGAGAAAGCTGACGGCAAAGCTAGCAACAAAAACAATAAGTACAGAGGTAACAAAAGTAGAGGCAAGGGCAAGGCGGACGTCCCGAGCGGACCGCTACAGCCCGTCAAGCAATTGACTCCACTTGCTCAGCCGGTCGGGGCCATCCTCGACTACGCGGAGGAGCAAGGTTTAGTCGACTTTCCGGATGAGTGTGATGTGGTGACTGCCAAGCGCAACCACGACCAATATTGTCGATTCCATCGGAGAGCAGGGCATGATACAGATGATTGCGTCATTCTCCGGCGGCAAATTGAAGAACTCATCCAGAAAGGGTACCTGGGCCAATTCGTTGGCAAACAAGGAGGCATCCCGCAGAAGAGGAGCCTGACGTGGCAGCGGTCCGACCAAGCTACCACGTCAAAGGAGACACCACCTGCCAAGAAGCGGGAGCTCGGCGCCTTCTCCGAGGAAGACGATGCCGACCTAGGGAGCGGCCCCCGGAAGTACCATCGATGTTCATTCATATTCGGGGGACCCCAGGGAGGCGACACCTCTGGAGAGCGGAAGCAGTGGACCCGAGCCCTATACGTGGGGGGGATAACCAGAGCTCCCGCCGACAAGAGGGTGAAGAGGGACCCCATCTTCTTCACCGACGCAGATTTGCCGCCGATGCCTCCGCCACACAGGGATGCCTTGGTCATCAAGGTCGAAATCAACGACACGATCGTCCACCGAGTCCTGGTGGACAATGGGAGCTCTGTTAACATCATGTACTATGACACCTTCCAAGGTCTCGGGCTGGACCGAAAAGACTTGATCCCGGTGAGAACCCCACTCTCGGGCTTCACCGGGGACTCCATTGAGTCAGAGCGCAGCATAGTCCTCCCCGTGATGGTGGGCTCCGAGCCTTGCGTATCCAAGTTAGACGTCGAGTTTATCATCGTACGCCTAACTTGTGCGCATAAGATCATCATGGGAAGGCCGGCCCTGGAAGACCTCAGATGTGTGATATCCCAGGAGCACCTATGCATGAAGTTTCCCACTCCGAATGGCGTCGGAGTTGCCAGGGGAGATCAGCGAATGGCGAGGAGCTGCTATCTGAAAGCTTGCAAACAAATCGGTCAAAAAGACTTGAGGGTCCACACTATCAACAGCAAAGCCATGAAGTATGAGGAGGGTCAGCTCCGCGCTGAACCCACCTCAGAAGTGGATGAGATCCAGATTGACCCCGAGAGGCCAGAGCGGAAGGTCAAGATCGGGACCGGGCTCCCGGCCGGCTTGAGGGAGAGGATTATCCAGGTACTTGTCCTTTTTAGCGTTGTCTTCACGTGGGGACCGGAGGACATGTCTGGCCTTGACCGAAGCATCGTTGTCCATCGGCTGGCGGTCAATCCAATGGCGAAGCCCATCCAGCAGAAGAGAAGACATCTCTCAACCGAGAGGAGGGAATTCGTGAAGAAGGAGGTCAATATGCTCCTGAGTATCAAGCATATCCGGGAGGTCTTGTACCCGGCCTGGCTGGCAAACGTGGTCCTGGCCCCGAAGCCGCCAACCTGGAGGATGTGTGTTGATTACACCGATCTCAACAAGGCATGTCCGATGGATCCATTCCCATTGCCTAACATCGACCAACTAGTCGATGGGACGGCCGGATGTGAGATCCTTAGCTTCATGGATGCTTTTCGAGGATACCATCAGATTTTCATGCATGAAGAAGATGCGGAGAAGACCTCGTTCGTCACCCCAGAGGGGATTTTTTGTTATCTTGTCATGGCCTTCGGGCTGAAGAACTCTGGGGCGACGTACACGAGGATGGTGGCCAAGGTATTCCGGAAGGTGCTCGGAAGGAACATGGAGGCGTATGTTGACGACATGATCATCAAGAGCACCCGGGCATCCGATCATGCAGATGATTTAGCAGAGATCTTCGGGATCATGAAGGCAGTCCGTCTGCGCCTGAACCCGAAGAAATGTACCTTTGCCGTCCAAGGAGGCAAGTTCCTGGGGTACATGGTCACACGGAGGGGGATTGAGCCAAATCCTGAGAAGGTAAGGGCAATACTTGACATGGAACCCCCGAGGTCAGTGAAAGAAGTCCAGATTCTCACCGGCCGTCTAGCAGCCCTCGGACGCTTCATGTCCAAGTCCGCCGAGAAGTCCCTACCCTTCTTCCAGGTCCTAAAGAAACAAAATGGTTTCGTCTGGAATGATGAGTGTCAGCGAGCCTTCGACGACCTGAAGAAGTACCTCCTCTCTGAGCCTTTACTCAGCTAGCCGGAGAGGGGGGAGACGCTAATCCTTTATCTTGGGGTTTCCCAAGGTGCAATCAGTTCCGTGCTAGTTCGCGAGGAGGAAGGCGTTCAGCGTCCCGTCTACTATGTGAGCAAGACCCTCCAGAATGCTGAGCTCCGGTACACCCCGCTCGAGAAGACACTATATGCCGCCTACATCACCGCCAAGAAGTTGACACACTACTTCCAAGCGCACCCGATCAGAATCCTGTCGGACCAACCCCTAGGTGCCGCTCTGAGGGCGCCCGGCACAACCCGAGTAGTGAAGTGGTCGATCCTCCTCAACCAATACGAAGTTGACTTCCAGCCTCGGACGTCCATCAAAGGCCAGGCTCTGGCTGATTTCATTGTGGAATGCACGGCCCGAGAAGTAGCAGATAGGCAACAAGAGAGCAATGAACAATGGTGGACTCTAGCGACTGATGGGTCGGCAGGAGCCAAGGGATGCGGGGGCGGAATCGTCCTCATCTCACCCGAGGGATTCCGAGCCTACTATGCCTACCGCTATCTTTTCAAAGTCTCCAACAATGAGGTGGAGTACGAGGCCCTACTGTCTGGGCTACGATTGGCAGCCGCCATGGGAGCAGAGTGGATAACGGTGAAATGTGACTCCCGCCTGGTGGTTTCCCAGGTCAAAGGTGAGTTCGAAGCGAAGGAAGAAAGAATGATGAAGTATCGAGATGTTGTTCGGGAGTTGCTCGGGTTGTTCAAGCAAGCAGAGTTGATCTGCATCCCGAGAAATCAAAACTCCGATGCAGACCTCCTCTCAAAGCTATCCCAAGGGTTACCTGAACATATATCGAGAATTGCACGCATTGAGGAGATGACGACCTCAAGCATATCAGCCTCACCGTCCATTGACGTCCTTCCCCTGCAACCAGCCGCCTGGTGTTGGGTGGATGACCTCCTGCGCTACATAGCCGACGGGACGCTCCCCGATAAAGAGGAGGAGGCAAGGTTAGTCCGGCGACGAGCTCCGGGCTACGTCGTCTTGGATGGGAAGCTGTACAAGAGGTCCTACAATGGGACCTTGCTAAAGTGTTTACGCCCACATGAGGCGGAAATGATCGTCTCTGAACTCCATGGGGGCGTATGCTCCGCCCATCAGGGGGCAGGCACGTTAGCTAGGAAGGTCGTCCTCCAGGGGTACTTTTGGCCAACAATAATGAAGGATTGCGCTGACTATGCAAGGAGATGCAAGACATGCCAGAAATTCCAGAAGAGCCCCGGCCGACCAGCAACGATGTACACACCGATCAGCACCGCCCTTCCATTCACAAGATGGGGTGTCGACCTGGTCGGTCCCTTACCAACCGGGTCGGGAAACCGGAAGTTTGTCATCGTCGCGGTGGACTACTTTACGAAGTGGGTTGAGGCTGAGCCGCTTGCCAGCATCACACATCTCCAATGTAAGAAGTTCATATGGAAGAATATTTTCTGCCGGTTTGGGGTTCCCCTCCAAATAATCTCCGACAACGGAAGGCAGTTTGACTGCGAAGCCTTCCGGCAATTCTGTGCAGAGTGGGGAGTAGAATCCAGCCGAGTTGCGGTCTGCTACCCCCAGGCAAATGGACAGGTGGAGAACACCAACCGGACGATCGTCGATGGACTGCAAAAGAAGTTGGAGGCCCTCGGGACTGCCTGGGTGGAGGAGTTGAACAATATACTTTGGACCTTCAGAACAACCCCAAGGAAGGCAACAGGAGAGACCCCCTTTGCCTTGTGTTATGGCTTTGAGGCGAGGGCACCATTCGAGGCCGTAGTTCCCAGCCGGCGAGTAGAAGAGTTTGAACCAGCCAGCAATGAGGAGAGGCTCCGAGCCGAGCTCCACCTCATTGAGGAAAGAAGAGACCGTGCCTTCATCAAAGCGGAAAACTATCGACGACAAGTCAAGGCGTACCAAGACAGCCGAGCCCGACCCCGGAGTTTTGACGTCGGTGATTATGTCCTAAGACGTAGGAAGGCCAGCAGGCCGACAGAGGGAGGTAAGCTCTCCGTCATGTGGGAAGGCCCTTACGTGGTTGACGCAGTGATCGGCCCTGGGACATACAAGTTGAAAACAACAACAGGCCGGTTGGTAGACCGCGTCTGGAATGCCGAGCACCTGATGAAGTTTTACCAGTAGAAAATCGAAGTTTCACTTTTCTTTGTAAACTCCTGTGCTCCGAGCACGGGATTACAATTTGTAATTCTTCATGTGGTCCGCCCACATCATGAATTCAATATACTTTGCTAGCGATATTTTGTCATCAAAAGAGGTCCGACCTCACTTAGCAATAAAGGGCGGCGGCAAAAAAAAAAAAAGGGTACTATGCCCCCCTCGGTGTTTGGCCGACCTCGGCCAGGCTCTTTAGCCGAAAATAGCCAAGCGATTTTCAAGAATCTGGGCAATTTTCTAAAGTAAAGAGCTAGCCGCGACAGTCGAGGCGACGGTAGGGCCGGCCTCCGGGTCGAGGGTACTCAGGATGCTGACCTCCGGGTCCTTTCGAGTGCTCGCCGCCTAACATCGCTGGCCAAGCAGCTCGCACTCTCGTCATCCCTGAGTTGGCGGTGCGGGTTCGTTCTGGTGGATCATGTAGGGTCCGCCCCTGTTGTTTGGCTATCCATGCGGGAGTAACCAGATTATTCCCAAGTCCGGGCAAACTGGACGGGTTAAAGTGACAGTAGGACTGACCCCCGGGTCATGAACGTTCAGGATACCGACCTAAGGGTCTTCCTCGTCGGTTCAATGTCCGACCTTGCTGGCCAAACAAGTCGCTTACTTGTTGATTCCATATCAATAGCGAACAGATCACTTCTATCCAACTAGGAGAGGCACGGATAGGCTCGGCCACGCCAGCCTAACCGCCCCCCGGGAGGTTAGAGAAGCCAGATCCCCGAATAAATTGCTAAGTATTCGTAATGCAAAGTATAGAAAAGGAGGCGTACGAAATAAAAATCAAACATCCATTCGAAACACAAAGTATTCAAGTGGGAAACAAAGGAAATACAAAATACAAGATCATGACTTGGTGAACTCATCCTTATCAAGTACAATGGTCTAGTGAGGGGAGTTGCTAAGAATCTCAAGTATCTCTCTCCAAATCTGGACTCCAGCGCGGCCCATGCTATGGTCATCCCCCTTTCGACGGGTGGTCGAAGGTGACTACTATCCGCCACACTCCAATTAGTGACAGGCCTGCCGCTAGCCACCTTTGCTCCAATCTGAGTTGCGGGCGCCAACCTCCGAATGCTTGCCGCTCAACATGGGAGGACATGAAGCCACTTATCCCTCATATGCGCCCGGCCTAAGCCTCATGCTGATGCCCGCTTGTTGGTATTCCTACCTGCAAAAAAAAAGTCGTTGTTAGAAGGGCACCCATCTGGAGGATCGCCCACCTGTGAAGAATAAGAACGTGACCCTCACCCGCCAGTCCTATAGCACGAACGCCTGGTAGGAGGGGCACCAAGCAGTAGGGATTCATTCTAATACGTCCTAAAGGTTGAGGTGCCAAGACGTTTGGGACTCATACAGAACAAGGAGACCATCGTCGTCGTGGCCGCTGCACCCTTCGCGGCCTCCATCCTAGAAGCTGTCGCTGAGTGATGGAGGTCAGCAGTCCAACCCGCGGCTGGGCATCACCGTCAACTCACAGAATACCGGCCAACCAAGGGCATGGGACCTGCGCCACAGGCTGCCAGCAGTTGACCAAGTTGAAAGGCGCCAAAGTTCCCTATGTCCACAAGATTAACATTTAACAGTGAACGAACATGGGATTGCTATGCCTGCAGGGTTTTTAGGCGGACTAGTGGGGCATCTATTCACACATGTTTCCGTCTCTCTCAAGGTAAAAGGAAGAAGATGGCAGCATCCACCTTGCCGCTAGAGAGAAGAACCGCGTCGGGGCAACCGCCGGCCAACGCGGACGCCCGACGGGCTGGGACGCCGCCGCATCCGCCGCACGATGGAGGGCAGCCAAGTTTAGACCCACCGCAAAGGAATCCATCGCCGTCTTGGATCCACTGCCGCCGACTCCGTCCGGAGTTATCACCGCCTGGAGCCGCCGCCTAAATCCTGGAAGCAACAGCGCCGACCGAGCGAGTGACGTCCGACCTGGGGCACTGGGCAATTTTCCGCTCGAGTTCGTCCGCCGTCGTGAAGGTCCGTCCGGTGAAGCCCTGCTGCGGCCGAAGGTTCAACCCGGCGACACCTTGCCGCTGAACGACCGTCAGCCTGGAGATTCACCCGGCGACGCCCTGCTGCTGAAGAATCGGTCTGCGATTTGGGGGTTGAGGCATGCTGGATTTCCGACTGCTGTGCTGCGCAGGGGAGCTGGATTTCCGACTGCTGTGCTGCGCAGGGGCTACGCGAGGAAGACGCACGCACGCGGTTCCAGGAGAGAGAGGAAAAAGAAAAGAAAGGAAAGAAAAAGAAAAGGAAAGAAAAGAAAAGAAAGGAAGAAAAGAAAAGAAAGGAAAAGAAAAAAAAAAGGAAAGAAAAGAAAAGGAAAGAAAAGAAAAGGAAGGAATTTATTTGGAGCCTTTTTTGGGAGCCTGATTTAATTTGGGAATTTCCATAAATTCTGGGATTCCCATAATCCACAATTATGGCTCCCTGATATGTGAATATTTTTAAATCGGCAGCTGACTTAAACTACTCCCTCTTAGCCGAGTCTACTACTCGACTAAGGGAGTGGGGGACTCGTGATGGGGTTATGGGACAAGGCCCAGAGCCTAATCGGCCCAGGCCCAACTTGGACCAGCGGGCCCAAGCCCAGCAACCCAGAGCTCGAGTCAGCCCAACCAACCAGGGAAATCAAGGAGCGGAAGCCCAAGAGAGCCTGTCGACCAGCCCAGTGGGGAGCCTGCCTTCCAGCCCAGTGGGGAGCCCGCCTTCCAGCCTAGCCAGGAGCCTGCCGACCACCAGCCCAGCTGGGAGCCTGCGGTCCAGCCCAACTGGGAGCCTGCGGTCCAGCCTACCCGGGAGCCTACCTTCCAGCCCAGTGGGGAGCCTACCTTCCAGCCTAGCCAGGAGCCTGCCGACCACCAGCCCAGCTGGGAGCCTGTGGTCCAGCCCAACTGGAAGCCTGCGGTCCAGCCTACCCGGGAGCCTGCCTTCCAGCCTACCCGGGAGCCTGCCTCCAGCCCGGTCAGAAGCCTTCCTCCAGCCTAGCGGGAAGCCCACCATCCAGTCCAGCAGGAGGGAGCTCAAGCGTCCAGCCTGCCAGCCAGGCTGACCTGCCAGCCAAGAAGAGTAACGGCCAACAATTAATGCGCGACTTAATTATGTGTTTAATTCTGTATTAATGTTGTAATTAATTTAGTCATTATTATGTTCGGCAGTTACCATTTGTAATCGCCTATAAAAGGCAATTCGAATTTCAAATACAGATAGGCTATTGCTGGCTAACTTTCCATATTCGTACTTTCCTAATTCTTGCTTGAGTGTCGTACGTAGCTTTCCTAAAAGCCTACGAGCGTCCTATTTTGGACCAACAATAAGGATATTTTTAATTATATTGACATGTTCCGTTCTAATTTGGTCTGAAGTAATACAGTGTGGAAGATGTCTATTTTATGTATTATAATAATAATTATTATTATTATGATTGATGTTTGATCCGATCTTATCTGAGACTGAAACTAGTCCAATTAAAAACATCCTAAATGTATGAAGATTTCCTAATTTGGATTAGTAATCTATGTCAAAAGTGAAGGAAAATCTAAATTGTAGTTGTAAAAATAAAGAACCAACCAAACATGTTTACTTTTTTGACTGGGCTAAACGTATTCATATGTATTATATGAATTTCTATTTCCATCCTCATAAAGGTAAGATACTTGATCAGAATTTTTAAATGTTTTCATATACGTAGTATTAGTCAAAAAAATGTTTTCATATATGAACGTCTAATAGTATATATCAATTTCTTTTTTAAGTTAAAAAATCGTGTGGTTATAATTTTCATCATTATCTCAACAATTAAGAAAGAATGGTATGAGGATGCAGAAAAATACGAAGTATTAACACAATTGCAAATCTAAGTCTTATAATTTTAGTCATTATCACATTGAGTTTAGAAAACATTCAAAAAATTGAGTTTAGAAAAATAAAATATTACTCCGTAGTTTTTAGGAAATGGAACACTATTATTACTTTTTTTATAAAATAACTTTGAAGAACAAAACTAATAGGAACTTGGATGATTTATCTGTTAGGTGGGCAAAACACGGAATATTCACTTCTCAATTATAGAATGTAAAAAAAATTAAAAGTATAAAAATAATTAAATTAAATAAAGTCTATGTGCACGGATGGCTATTTATTGTTGTGGTTGCAATTGCTTATTTTAATAACTATCCATATACGGAGTAAGTAGTAGATTCTGAAAAAGTTACCAAATAAGGTGGATTCTATCATACGATCTTTTATTTCCATATCAATATGCAATAAAAAATAGACTGCCGGTTGTCATGACATTGATGTTAATTTCATCGTTGGATTGGCATGCCTTGTGGCGGGTCATATATATTCTAACTTTGTCGGAGTTTACTTGAAGAAAAATGGGGATCGAAATCTTGGTCAATGGGCAATAGTATTTTTTGCCTTCTCATGGTAAAATAATTAATTATTGTTTGTTTAGCGTTTTTTGTTTTTGCTGAAACCTCGAATCTCCAGAGTTTTTTGAGTGGACATGTTTCGCAAAGTTCATTTACACCGATCTTGAATGTCTACCTTGCTGAGTAAGGTAGGGTGTTCGGCTCATGATTAAAAACCCAACGGCGGAATTGGTTGTCCACATCTCGAGGCGCCTCCTTCCCCATCTGCACGTTCAGGGGAGGATCTATGTACGGGCTATGGTAGGATGAAGCCAAGAGCAACTGAGATTTTTTTTTTTAATTTTTTTAGTGTAATTTTTTTCATTTTTCACATTTACTCCACTCCTCAAATATTTAAGCCTAGAATAATTCTCATTCAGCCCAGGGCATCTAAGAATCCTGGAGCCGCTCCTGTGCACGTTGGTTACTGCAAGGCACCCCAGCCACACGACAGAGGATCTCAATCTCATTTAGACACATAAGTATATCAAAAGTCAGTTATTCTTGTTATTTTGTTGATAAGCAAAATTGTGTGAAATAATTTGGAATTTAAAACCAAACAGGCTTTAAAAGGTGTGAGGTTTAATACTTCTATTATTTTAGAATTGCAAGTGTTTGTGGCAAAAATGGACAGAAGAGAATCCATAATAACAAACGCTCTATATTTGAGTGATGCAAGCTTACAACAACATAAATTCTGCAAAACAATTCAATAATCCTTGTTAAAATTGGACATCACGAATACATGTTACATTGGGGAAATTGCATTGGTTTCGATCGGACGTTCTGAACATTGGGATTGGACCACCAATCCCAAGTCCCGACTCATAAGTCCTGAAAGAAGTAGGCCTTATTTAAGATGTTAAATTATTTTGCTTGGTTTGAATAAAGAGATTTTTTAGAAAGGTAATTCAATTTGTTGTGATGCTTGCAGCGCTACACTAATTTTGGGAGTTTCACTTATTGTGATGGGAAGAATGGTGAAGCATTATAATGGGGCGTGTGTGATCGCTTACCCAAGATATCTACAAGTAGCTATATGTTCTTTCACCGCTTTTAAAGGCTCTAGTATTTTGGATGTTTTTTATTAGATTCAGATTTTCTGATCTGGTTTGGTCTGTTTAAATCTCGTCTGATCTGAATTGAACGTAACTAGCCTGGTTTGATAAATGTATGATCCATGTGTATTTTTTAACTGTCGAAATGTGGTCTGATCTGATTTGTTTAAGTCGCTATCTGATCGGGGTTGAAATAAGTCCAACTAATTAAAAATATCCTAATTTGTCCTAAAGAAGCGTTAGGCTTAGAATGATGGTAGCTACCGAGTATATTACTCGTCATCTTATGATTATTGATAATGAATATCTTCACTAGTGCATTATACTACGGAGTAGTAGATTTCAACTCTCACACACACATAAATTAATGTTATATTTGATGGATAGACTTGTATGATAAAGACTATGTTTGGGTTGGTTGATTAATGTTAATATTCAATTAACAGAACTATTAAGAATTGTTACACATCATTATAGGCTTTATAGTATACAACATTGAGTGTATGCATGTTGGGTTGGTTCTCCATTAATTTATCATGGCACATTATAAATTTCAATCAAGATTTATCATGGCACTTTGACTATGAATGAGTAAAAGACGACCAACTCTTCCATTAGATACATCCATACTCAGCTTCTTTGTTATCATAAATTATTGATATCTAGCATTCAATGAGGGTGAATTTCAACTTCAATGTGCTGATTACTACATGTGCTGATTACTACAGACACATACGGAGGATATATATATATATATATATATATATATATATATATATATATATATATATATATATATATATATATATATATATATATATATATATATATATATATATATATATATATATATATAGTTTTATTACGCACGTTGCGCGATGGGAAGATGCCCAATACTATTGTAGTGATGAATTATTTTTTAGTATAATTGACATGTTAAAAAAGTTATTTGATAGTATGCTGCAATTACACAATAGCTATATGTTCAACAAAATTCATAGCTATCAAAGTGTTAAAAACTGATGTGATACTCTTTTGTGAATTTGGCAAAACCCTTTCTAAAGACACACATAATGAATATACACATAAAATAGAGAGTTGAACGATGAGTCATTCTAAAGATGAACATAATGAACATATGTACATGTATATAATAATTTAAGCAAAACATTATATATATATTCCACACCAGGGGGCGTCGGGGTAAGGGGTTTTCGGGGGGGGGGGGGGGGGGGGGGGGGGCATGGGGTAAACTGGAATCAATGTTACTTCATTGAGAATTGAACTCGAGACCTCTCATAAGGGAGACTGAGTCAACGATCAGTTGGACTAGACCGCTTACTTTAAGCAAAACATGGCATACGGTCGGAGCCTTATGTTTTGGTTCAAATAAATAAAATGCATATACGATTACATATATCCTTTTTAGAATTTGAGGTAAAGTCGAGCAAGTTAATGTTAAGGGCATATCAAGCAAGGAGCACTATAGGTCTATGTTAAGTAGTATTGAGATTGACTATTCTCATTTAGGTTTAGGTTTCCCATTTGTGTATGTTAAGTCCACTAGTAAAATACCCGTGCGATGCACGGTTTATAATTTTTTTCTCTAAAGTCATAGGGGGTATAATAAATTGGATGTAATTGTTACACAAAACCTTGTATAATGTAGCAAGCATGATATATACTCAAAACAAATTAATAAAGAATATAACATTACAAATGACTATAACATAAAGCTACACGTTGTTGAATACTTCGTTGAAAATAATATCTTGAGTCATATCTGTGGTGCTTCATCTTCATCACAAATTAAAATTTGCAGCCCCCGACGATTGGTAACTCTTGAAACTGCAACATACAGTTGGTCGTGGTAAAGACTGGTGTTTAACAACAATCCTACATGTGACAATGATTGACCTTGATTTTTATTTATAATCATAGCATACGAAGTCATAATAGGATACTGTTGTTACTATCTAGAATGCATTTACAAAAAGTCATACATTATTTGGAAAAAATATCATTTATAAATAGTAACCTACTCCCTCCGTTCTTTTTTATTAACCTACTCCCCACAAATTACAATCATTTGACACACATGCCATGTATATGTAAAATATCATCATCATAATCATAATAACCAAATTGCACTTTCAGACACGTTCAGCAATTATGGTAATCAAATCTTCAGCCACCTAACCTCAATTAAAATAAAGAAGCACAACCCCATTATCACAAACCTTCCTTCCTTCAATAAATACGACACAACCACCATTACGCTACCCCAACATTAATTGTAATATTTGATCTGAACTACAAATGAAGGAGGAGCTGATGAGGGTATATCAAAACAGGCGTAATGGAAGGCAAAGAACATCAACATGTGTTTGGGATTCACAAATATAGTTTTGCCCAAATGTCAACGGAACGTATTACAAATTGGCCCGGCTTTGATCAATGGCGACAGAAATTTTGGCGGGCAAAGCGATTATTGGCTAATGCAGATTAGCTTTTATAGGCGAGCAATACATACCATTCACTGTTTGAAAATTATTACCTTGGAGAGTTGGAATGGCATGGGCAACTGCCAATAAGGCAAAATGCAGAATTAGAGTAAACACTGTTGCCCGCCCGT